AGACCTGCGGCTTTTGCATGTTATCTTGAAAATGCACCGCTTTCTATGATTACATAAAACATTTATAGTTCGGCTCACCTCAACATGTGACCATGGAAGTGTTACTCATTTTAAGGTTGAATAAATACGGTTACATTAGTTAGTAAGATAGCCTTAACTTTGGGCTATTTACTGTATTACAAAATAAATATTACATTTTGTTTGGTTATCAAGGCAACCAAATATCAACATTTAAAGGATATCTAATGCTTGGATAGTTTCATCTGAGCCACTGGCTTAATCGTATTCTTTAACTTTTATTTTTGGTTTAGTTGGGACGTGAATCCAACATATAATTTGCTTACTTGTCGACAAGTTAATAGGCTATTTAGTGAATTGCGAAAGTGATATTGAATTGTGTTTGGTTGTCAACGCAATGTATCTTTTGTGCCACTGACTTAGTCTGGCTTTAATTCCAGTATGTCTACAAATTAATAATTTATATGCTGGATTCACGTCACCATCAAATACTTTATTTAAAGTGCATTTAAAGTTTGATTAGATTAGATGTAGTCCTATTCTTTAACTTAGATTTTTGGTCGAGACGGAGACGTGAATCTAACATATTAATGATTAACTGGAAACCCTAGACCTATATGTATTGTCTATTTTTAGTTGAACCCTGGGTTGAATTGAAACAATAGCTGTTGATGACTTTGTAAATAGATATATAGGCCTAAATAGTATTGTTGATGATATATGACTTATAAAGTATGGTTACATTTCATTTGCTCTGATAAATCTACTTTTTGGAATGACTTTGATAGCAACAGTGAATATGTTTAGTTATTAAGAGATCTCTCAATACTAATTCTCACGATAGCACATCGGTAATAGTCAGTGACAAATATCAAAGCTAAGCTGTGCTTGGTTAAAACCCTGGCTGGGAGACCAAAGGGACAGCTGTAGATAGATCGACTCTCCAGTAGGAGGTGCTGCCCAGCCTATTTTTTTTTTATGAATGTGGATATAACGTTGAAGAATTAATGTTGTTTCAAAAGGTACAAATTCAACATATATTTATACAAGGTTTGTTTATGTTGAAAATGTGTTACCACGATGACAAAATCCCGCGGTTGAAATTTCACCCTCAAAACAACAGTTGATTACATTTTTTTTTTTTAAATCCAATGTATTTTCCAACGTCACAATACGTTAACAAATTACGTTGAAACAACTTCGATTCAACCAGTTTGTGCCCTGTGGGCTCCTGTAGTCTGTAGTGACTTCCCCAAAATGGTGCACTACATTTAACCACAGCCCTTTAAGCCCTGGTGAAAAGTAATGCACTGTATAGTGAAAAGGGAGCAGTTGTCCAACGGTTTTATTGATTTGTTGAACACCAGCTGACCCTGCCCTGAGGGAATCCTACTGAGCTATTTAAACCAGCAGATCTGAGCCACTCGATAAACAACAAGTATAATATATCTATCATTAATACAGGATTGTTGTTGTCGGTTGGTCAGTTGTGTCATGTGGGGTGAGCGGTGCATCATACCTCACGCTGTGCTAACTCACTTGGCAAAAACTGCTTGAATCAACCCAAGAAAATCTATGTGATGATCAATGTGATCAACGTGGAAAACTAATTGGATTTGCAAAAAGTAATCAACGTAAGGGCATTTCTTATTTTTTTCACCCAACCTTTAACCTAAATCCAATGACATGGTAAATGTTTTTGTTGATTTGACATTGAATTCACGCTAGTTGACAACTCAACCAAGTGTAAATCAAAACTAGACGAACTGACGTCTGTGCCCAGTGAGAAAACACTGTGGCATTATGGGATTGATCCTTTAAGCTTCCACAGAACCTGTAACAGCAACAAAACAACACACTGAGGTTGCATCCCAAATGGCACCCTATTCCCTACATAGTGCACTACATTTGACCAGAGCCCTATGGGACCTCATCAAACAAAGTGCACTATATAGGGAAAGGGTGCCATTTTGTCAGGAAGCCTGTGATGACCAACACAACACTGACTCACTCAGAAGATTGTGTTGTTATGACTACATAGAGATGTCTAATCAGCCTGTTGTTGTTAGGTTCTGCCAGTGAGATGGACAGGGGTGTAGGAGAGGAGGGGAGAGAAGGAGAGGAGGGGATGGGTGGGAGAGAAGGGGAGAGAAGGAGAGGGGTGGGAGAGATGGGGAGAGGGGAGGGAGAGATGGAGAGGGGAGGGAGAGCTGGAGAGGGGGGAGAGATGGAGAGGGGTGGGACAGAAGGAGAGGCATGGAGGGGGTGGATGGGCAAACTAAATCATCTACAGAGATGACAATATCTCTCAGAGAGACAGAGAAAGAGAGAGGAGAGAGGGAGAGAGAGAGAGGAGAAAGAGGAGAGAGAGAGAGGAGAAAGAGAGAGGAGAGCGAGAGAGGAGAAAGAGAGAGAGAGCGGAGCAGAGAGAGAGAGAAGAAAGGGAGAAGAGAGAGAGAGGAGAGAAAGGGAGAAGAGAGAGAGGAGAAAGGGAGAAGAGAGAGAGAGGAGAGAGGAGAAAGAGAGAGAGAGCGAGAGAGAAAGAGAGAGAGGAGAAAGGGAGAAGAGAGAGAGAGAGAGAGAGAGGAGAGAGAGAAGAGAGCGAGAAAGAGTGTTGTGGGCTGTAGCTAAAACAGTGGCACCTACTGGAGGTGTTAGGAACTGCAGACACCCATGCTAACCCCAGTCAGTGTTCAACCTAATGATGGTGTCGTAGTAAATATATAATGTTATAGCTTGGTCTGACTAAAATCTTGTGCATGACCCATCTTGTGTTGGGCCTTTGTATTTAATACAATGCACAAAGACTTCTATCTTGTCGGCCTTATCAGCAGGTGGCTATGGACAACACCCACGCCATAGGTCTCTCAGTTCTCCCAACTCACGACTTCTTGCTCTGAGGACATACACACACACACCCCCACACACACACACATATACACACACACACACACACACACACATCATCATTGTTAAACATACACACACATACACACACACACACACACACACACATACACACACGCACACACACACACACATCATCATTGTTAAACATACACACACATACACACACACACACACACACACACACACACACATATACACACACACACACACACACACACATCATCATTGTTAAACATACACACACATACACACACACACACACACACATACACACACGCACACACACACACACATCATCATTGTTAAACATACACACACATACACACACACACACACATACACACACGCACACACACACACACACACATCATCATTGTTAAGCACACACACACACAAAAACCCCCTTCTCTTAGGCTGAACATCTGAAGACAGAGAACCCGACTCAGAGCCAATGCAATGGAGGTGACCTCGACCAACTCATCAGGACCAATCAGAAGATCAGAACTACTAGAATCAACCTACTTTATTTTATTGTATAAAATGTCAGCACACAATGTTTAGGGGCTCGCTCTCAGATATCTCCCTACGAGGTTGACGAACGGGTCCGTGCACGCGATTTACAGATATCTTTACCTCTGAATAAACTGCCTTATATTATACAATTATCCACCTTGTCCGAAAGTCTCTACTTGGTCTCCGTTCTCCAGTAAACTTGTGATCATCAACAATGGTCTTTTTTTTTTTAGCAGACGCTCTTATCCAGAGCGACTTACAGGAGCAATTAGGGTTAAGTGCCTTGCTTAAGGGCACATCGACAGATTTTTCACCTAGTCGGCTCGGGGATTAGAACCAGCGACCTTTCGGTTACTGGCACAACGCTCTTACCCACTAAGCTACCTGCCACCCTACTGGGTATATGGTGGTGTCTGTCCATGTAGCAGCACGTGCCAGAATTCTATAGGCTCCTCTGCATTTCCTATGATATGACGTCTGGCTAGGTAAGAGTAGTGATTATAAGAATATGAAGCAACGTGTGTGTTTGTCGGGGTGGGAAAGGTAGCGGCGGGTGGGGTGATATCATCAGTGCAGTGTCTGTTACAGTAATCATCCCTGATAATGGCAGACAACCTTCCTAACTCAAGCAGGGATATCCTGTGTGTGTGTGTGTTAGTTCTGGCCTCTGTGTCCTAGCGACTTTGACGCCTCACTTCCTGCTTTGGTTCCCATAAGTGTAATTTGATTGGCTCAGCGCCAGAACAGGACGGACACTCCTGTATGAGATAAGGATCCCAATCTCATACCCAAACACACAAGCATACACAACTAATGCAATTATACCCAGTTAAACAGACTGTTAGTGTATTCTCCTCTACTGGTAACAGGTGGGACTTTCTCTAGCCCTATTCACATGTTATCTAGTGGGACTTTCTCTAGCCCTATTCACATGTTATCTAGTGGGACTTTCTCTAGCCCTATTCACATGTTATCTAGTGGGACTTTCTCTAGTCCTATTCACATGTTATCTAGTGGGACTTTCTCTAGCCCTATTCACATGTTATCTAGTGGGACTTTCTCTAGCCCTATTCACATGTTATCTAGTGGGACTTTCTCTAGCCCTATTCACATGTTATCTAGTGGGACTTTCTCTAGCCCTATTCACATGTTATCTAGTGGGACTTTTTCTAGCCCTATTCACATGTTATATAGTGGGACTTTTTCTCTGGTCCTATTCACATGTTATCTAGTGGGACTTTTTCTCTGAGTGCATACATATTTTTTATTTTTTACATACTGGCCCCCCATGGGAATCAAACTCACAACCCTGGCGTTGCAAACGCCATGCTCTACCAACTGAGCTACATGGGGCCCTATCTAGTGGGACTTTTCTCTGGCCCTATTCACACGTTATCTAGTGGGACTTTTCTCTGGCCCTTTTTCTTGTTTCTCATCCACTGTCTCACTTGGCTCGCTGTGACCAGTGATCACCATCAACACATTGTTTTCGTAGAGACAGGACATTCAAACCAGGAACACAAAATGAGATCACGATGGATTAGACTGTGATGACAGAATCAGGGAGCAGAGGGCAGGTTGTCTTTACATAGTCTCCTCCTCTGGATCTGACTGATCCCTAACTCAGTTACAGACAGGAACAGTTCAATCAACTCAGCTGACCACACACACCTGTCTGTCCTGTCTCTGTCCTGGCTGTGTCCTCTGTCCTGGCTCTGTCCTTTCTCGGTCCTGGCTATGTCCTCTGGCTGGGTGACAGGGGCTCGTCTCTCTGTCCTCTGGCTGGGTGACAGGGGCTCGTCTCTCTGTCCTCTGGCTGGGTGACAGGGGCTCGGTGACAGGGGCTCGTCTCTGTCCTCTGGCTGGGTGACAGGGGCTCGTCTCTCTGTCCTCTGGTGGGTGACAGGGGCTCGTCTCTCTGTCCTCTGGCTGGGTGACAGGGGGCTCGTCTCTCTGTCCTCTGGCGGGGTGACAGGGCTCGTATCTCTGTCCTCTGGCTGGGTGACAGGGGCTCGTCTCTCTGTCCTCTGGCTGGGTGACAGGGTTCGTCTCTCTGTCTTCTGGCTGGGTGACAGGGGCTCGTCTCTCTGTCCTCTGGCTGGGTGACAGGGGCTCGTCTCTCTGTCCTCTGGCTGGGTGACAGGGGCTCGTCTCTCTGTCCTCTGGCTGGGTGACAGGGCCTCGTATCTCTGTCCTCTGGCTGGGTGACAGGGGCTCGTCTCTCTGTCCTCTGGCTGGGTGACAGGGGCTCGTCTCTCTGTCTTCTGGCTGGGTGACAGGGGCTGTCTCTCTGTCCTCTGGCTGGGTGACAGGGGCTCGTCTCTCTGTCCTCTGGCTGGGTGACAGGGGCTCGTCTCTCTGTCCTCTGGCTGGGTGACAGGGGCTCGTCTCTCTGTCCTCTGGCTGGGTGACAGGGGCTCGTCTCTCTGTCCTCTGGCTGGGTGACAGGGGCTCGTCTCTCTGTCCTCTGGCTGGGTGACAGGGGCTCGTCTCTCTGTCCTCTGGCTGGGTGACAGGGGCTCGTCTCTCTGTCCTCTGGCTGGGTGACAGGGGCTCGTCTCTCTGTCCTCTGGCTGGGTGACAGGGGCTCGTGTCTCTGTCCTCTGGCTGGGTGACAGGGGCTCGTCTCTCTGTCCTCTGGCTGGGTGACAGGGGCTCGTGTCTCTGTCCTCCGGCTGGGTGACAGGGGCTCGTCTCTCTGTCCTCTGGCTGGGTGACAGGGGCTCGTCTCTCTGTCCTCTGGCTGGGTGACAGGGGCTCGTCTCTCTGACGTAGGTCCAGTATACACAGCGTAGCTAAGTGAGCTAAAGGTAACTGTAGGTTGTGTACACTGGGTACAGTAATGATATAGGTCATGATGTCATACTGGGGTCGTATGATGACTTTAGGTACCTGTTGGTGAAAACGGTTATTACACACACACACACACACACACACACACACACACACACACACACACACACACACACTGCCAGTCAGGACAGAGTCAAGTTGACAGAGGTATTGCTCAGTGGTCGATACACAGATGTTTGTCGTTCGATTTCCCCCTTGCTCCCTCCGTCATCTTCCTGCATCCATCACATGAGCACATCTACAGCTGCTAAGCTTCCCAGTAAAGTGCTCAAAATAGCCCACGTTAACATATGTAGCTTAAGAAAAAAGGTTCATGAAATCAATAATTTGCTAGTGACAGATGACATTCACATTCTGACTATCTCTGAAACTCACTTAGATAATACCTTTGATGACACTGTGGTAGCAATACAAGTTTAGAACATTTACAGAAAATATAGAAATGCCAATGGTGGAGGTGTTGCTGTTTATATTCAGAACCACATTCCTGTGAAGATTAGAGAGTATCTCATGTTAAATACTGTTGAAGTAATAGGGCTACAGGTTCATCTGCCTCACCTAAAGCCAGATACAATGCTATTTTACAGTAAACAAACTGACAACAAACTTTCAGCATGCTTATAGAGAAGGACATTCAACAAGCACAGCACTTACACAAATGACTGATGATTGGCTGAGAGAAATTGATGATAAAAAGATTGTGGGGGCTCTTTTGTTAGACTTCAGTGCGGCTTTTGACATTATCGATCATAGTCTGCTGCTGGAAAAACGTATGTGTTATGGCTTTACTCCACCTGCTATATCGTGGATAAAGAGTTACCTGTCTAACAGAACACAGAGGGTGTTCTTTAATGGAAGCCTCTCCAACATAATCCAGGTAGAATCAGGAATTCCCCAGGGCAGCTGTCTAGGCCCATTCGTTTTTTCAATCTTTACTAATGACATGCCACTGGCTTTGAGTAAAGATTGTCTATGTATGCGGATGACTCAACACTATACATGTCAGCTACTACAGCGAATGAAACACTTAAAGAGTTGTAGTTAGTTTCAGAGTGGGTGGCAAGGAATAAATTAGTCCTAAATATTTCTAAAACTAAAAGCATTGTATTTGGAACAAATCAACTCCAAACCTCAATTAAATCTTGTAATAAATAATGTGGAGATTGAGCAAGTTGAAGTGACTAAACTGCTTGGAGTAACCCTGGATTGTAAACTGTCATGGTCAAAACATATTGATACAACAGTGGCTAAGATGGGGCAAAGTCTGTCCATAATAAAGCGCTGCTCTACCTTAACAGCACTATCAACAAGGCAGGTCCTACAGGCTCTAGTTTTATCACACCTGGACTACTGTTAAGTTGTGTGGTCAGGTGCTACAAAGAGGGACTTAGGAAAGTTGCAATTGGCTCAGAACAGGGCAGCACGACTGGCCCTTGGATGTACACAGAGAGCTAACATTAATAATATGCATGACAATCTCTCCTGACTCAAAGTGGAGTAGAGATTGACTTCATCACTGCTTGTGTTTGTGAGAGGTGTTGACATGTTGAAAGCACCGAGCTGTCTGTTTGAACGACTCGCACACAGCTCAGACACCCATGCATACCCCACAAGACATGCCACCAGAGGTCTCTTCACAGTCCCCAAGTCCAGAACAGACTATGGGAGGCGCACAGTCCTACATAGAGCCATGACTACATGGAACTCTATTCCACATCCGGTAACTGATGCAAGCAGTAGAATCAGATTTTAAAAACAGATAAAAATACACCTTATGGAACAGCGGGGACTGTGAAGCAACACAAACATAGGCACAGACACATGCATACACACACGATAACATGGGTTTTTGTGTTGTAGATATGTGGTAGTGGAGTACCACATATCTGAGGGCACACCGTGTGCTGTGAAATCTGTTATGACTGTATTGTAATGTTTTTTTTTAATGTATAACTGTTATGGGAATTATTTAACAAACTATTTCAGTGTCTCGGTATGTCTCCCAAAAGGTTGTAAGTCTTTTGGGATTTAAGTAACGGACAGAGTCCCGGTCTGCATAGTCAGAGATTTATTCATTGAGAATTCTGCCATCACAATTTCAGAGTCCATCTTTTATAGTCATACGTCATACAAAAAAAAATCCCTCCCCTCTGTAGGCGGGCTGTAGTTTTCCACTCTAAAACTGCTCTCCTGACCATCAGTTCACACACACACACATATACTCACATGCATACACACATACATACACACACACTTTCTTATCATAGCCTACTCCCTACATTCCTCAGTTATTGCCGTTCTCACAATATTAAATAAAATAAAAATATGCCATTTAGCAGACGCTTTTATCCAAAGCGACTTACAGTCATGCGTGCATACATTTTTGTGTATGGGTGGTCCCGGGGATCGAACCCACTACCTTGGCGTTACAAGCGCCGTGCTCTACCAGTTGAGCTACAGAGGACCACATATTCTGCACCATACTCATTAAAAAGCCTATCAGTTGCCTGTAGGCAGTTCTCCTTGTCCTTTGTTGTCTGGCCTAACTCTTACTGTCACGGATTCAGCCGAGGCTGCTCCTCCTCCTTGCTCGGGCAGGCTTCGGCGTTCGTCGTCCCCGGAGTACTAGCTACTGCCAATCGATGTTTCTGTGTTTGTCTTGTTTGGTCTTTATTGTTTACACCTGTTTCCCATTATGTTGTATTGTATTCCCTATATTACCCCCTGTATCTCATTGGTTATTGTGTGTGATTGTTCTTTGTCATTCCGGCAGTTGCTTTGGTGTACGGGTTATTGTGTTTTCCTCCCTGTTTGGAGGTTTGTTGTTTTTGGACTATATTTACTGTGTTCAGTAAAGTACGTTGCCAGCCGCTCTGTGTCCTTGCGTTTGACTTCGCTGACCGCATACACGTCGCGTGACAGAATCACACACCATAACATGGAGTCAGCAGGAGCGGCGGTGCCAGCTGGATCAATGGAGGAACGCGTAGCACAACAAGCGGCCATGATCCAGGCTCTCGGCACCGCCATGGAACGGGTGGTGAACACCATGGAGCGATGGGTAAGAGGAGGTTTGCCCACACCTCCTCCGACGATACCACCACCATCAGCTATACCCATCGCTTCACCTCCAGGGCTTATGATGGCACAGCGGCCGGGTGTCAGGGTTTCCTGCTCCAAGTGGAACTCTACCTGGCAACCATCCACCCGATGCCCTCGGGATACGAGAGCGTGTCCGCCCTCATCTCCTGTCTGTCCGGCAAGGCGCTGGAGTGGGCCAACGCCGAGTGGGGGGGAATAGACGCCGCTACAGTCAACTATGTGGAGTTCACCCGCCGCTTCAGAGCGGTGTTCGATCATCCCCCAGAGGGGAAGGCGGCGGGTGAGCGTCTGTTCCACCTCAGACAGGGGAAGAGGAGCGCGCAGGAGTTCGCACTGGACTTCCGGACTCTGGCTGCCAACGCGGGATGGAATGAGAGGGCCCTCATCGACCACTACAGGTGCAGCCTGAGGGAGGACGTGCGTCGGGAATTGGCCTGCAGGGACACCAACCTAAGCTTCGATCAGCTGGTGGACATGTCAATTCGCCTAGATACCCTGTTGGCTACCCACGGACGTCCGAGCCGAGCCCTATGGAGCTCGGGGGTGCTGGTGCTAGGGAGACCAGGAGAGAGACCAGGAGAGAGGCCGTCCCCTGCACCAACTGTGGCCGCAGAGGACACACTGCGGGTCGGTGCTGGGGAGGGTCTCCTAGGAATCGAGGCAGTAGGCAGCGCACTGATGAGTCATTCCAGGTGAGTAAGCACCCAACTCACCCAGAGCTCTCTGTTGCGCATATGTGTATTAAAGTTGTGTTTCCCAAGGTTTCTCCTCACTCCCAGTATAAGGCGCTAGTAGATACAGGCGCAGCTGGGAATTTTATCAATCGCCGGTTCACGTATAAGTTAGGGATTCCTATTGTACCAGTTGATGTGCCCTTCCCTATCCATGCCCTAGATAGCTGCCCTTTGGGGTCGGGATTGATTAGGGAGGTCACAGCGCCACTTAAGATGAAGACGCAGGAGGGCCATGAGGAGATTATACGGTTATATTTGATTGATTCTCGTGATGCAATAAAGGGATTGGCTGAGCAGACAGCGGCAACTAGCTTAATGGCATGGCAGAATAGAATAGCTTTAGATATGCCTTTGGCTGATTGGGGCGGAGTTTGTGTTCTGTTTGGATCTATGTGCTGTACTTTCATCCCCAACAATACAGCACTGGACGGGTCCGTGACCAAAGCGCTTCAGGGACTCACCAGGCTGGCGAACGAACTGGCTGAGAACTCTGGTATTGATAGCTCCCTAAACGGTTGGTTTGATAACATATTTGGTAAATGGAAAACTATTGTTGTAACTATTCTGGGTGCAGTTATAGCTTCTATGGGTATACTTGTTCTTTGTGGATGTTTTCTTATTCCCTGTGTCCGAGGGTTGGTGAGCAAGGCGATGGAGAAGGCGGTTTCCCAACAGATGGTGAGATACGGCCCAATCCCGGACTCCGACCTAAGGAATGAAGGATATGACCTATCTGGCTTGGTGGAGGACGACGACGATTCAGATAGTTTGAGACTGGATGTTTTCCTAGAACTATAAATCTCTAGTTTAAAAGTTATTGTAATGATCTTTTGTGTATTAAAGTCTCGTTTTAAGTATGATGTACTAGTTACTATTGCTAAAAAGTAACGTTACGCTTTTAATCATGGGGTAACCCTGATGAACCTGTAATGTTTTTATATGCAAACCAACTTACAGTGGGGGACAAAAGTATTTAGTCAGCCACTAATTGTGCAAGTTCTCCCACTTAAAAAGATGAGAGAGGCCTGTAATTTTCATCATAGGTACACGTCAACTATGACAGACAAAATGAGGAAAAAAAATCCAGAAAATCACATTGTAGGATTTTTTATGATTTTATTTGCAAATTATGGTGGAAAATAAGTATTTGGTCAATAACAAAAGTTTCTCAATACTTTGTTATATACCCTTTGTTGGCAATGACACAGGTCAAACGTTTTCTGTAAGTCTTCACAAGGTTTTCACACACTGTTGCTGGTATTTTGGCCCATTCCTCCATGCAGATCTCCTCTAGAGCAGTGATGTTTTGGGGATGTCGCTGGGCAACACAGACTTTCAACTCCCTCCAAAAATTTTCTATGGGGTTGAGATCTGGAGACTGGCTAGGCCACTCCAGGACCTTGAAATGCTTCTTACGAAGCCACTCCTTCGTTGCCCGGGCGGTGTGTTTGGGATCATTGTCATGCTGAAAGACCCAGCCACGTTTCATCTTCAATGCCCTTGCTGATGGAAGGAGGTTTTCACTCAAAATCTCACGATACATGGCCCCATTCATTCTTTCCTTTACACGGATCAGTCGTCCTGGTTCCTTTGCAGAAAAACAGCCCCAAAGCATGATGTTTCCACCCCCATGCTTCACAGTAGGTATGGTGTTCTTTGGATGCAACTCAGCATTCTTTGTCCTCCAAACACGACGAGTTGGGTTTTTACCAAAAAGTCATATTTTGGTTTCATCTGACCATATGACATTCTCCCAATCCTCTTCTGGATCATCTATTTTATTTTATTTTTTATTTATTTCACCTTTATTTAACCAGGTAAGCCAGTTGAGAACAGGTTCTCATTTACAACTGCGACCTGGCCAAGATAAAGCAAAGCAGTGCAATAAAAACAACACAGAGTTACATATGGGGTAAAAAACATAAAGTCAAAAATACAACAGAAAATATATATACAGTGTGTGCAAATGTAGCAAGTTATGGAGGTAAGGCAATAAATAGGCTATAGTGCAAAATAATTACAATAGTATTAACACTGGAATGCTAGATGTGCAAGAGATTATGTGCAAATAGAGATACTGGGGTGCAAAAGAGCAAAATAAATAACAATATAGGGATGAGGTAGTTGGGTGGGCTAATTTCAGATGGGCTGTGTACAGGTGCAGTGATCGGTAAGGTGCTCTGACAACTGATGCTTAAAGTTATTGAGGGAGATAAGAGTCTCCAGCTTCAGAGATTTTTGCAATTCGTTCCAGTCATTGGCAGCAGAGAACTGGAAGGAATAGCGGCCAAAGGAGGTGTTGGCTTTGGGAATGACCAGTGAGATATACCTGCTAGAGCGCAGACTACGGGTGGGTGCTGCTATGGTGACCAATGAGCTAAGATAAGGCGGGGATTTGCCTAGCAGTGATTTATAGATGGCCTGGAGCCAGTGGGTTTGACGACGAACATGTAGTGAGGACCAGCCAACAAGAGCGTACAGGTCACAGTGGTGGGTAGTGTATGGGGCTTTGGAGACAAAACGGATGGCACTGTGATAGACTACATCCAATTTGCTGAGTAGAGTGTTGGAGGCTATTTTGTAAATGACATCGCCAAAGTCAAGGATCGGTAGGATAGTCAGTTTTACGAGGGCATGTTTGGCAGCATGAGTGAAGGAGGCTTTGTTTGCGAAATAGGAAGCCGATTCTAGATTTAACTTTGGATTGGAGATTCTTTATGTGAGTCTGGAAGTTGAGTTTACAGTCTAACCAGACACCTAGGTATTTGTAGTTGTCCACATACTCTAGGTCAGACCCGTCGAGAGTGGTGATTCTAGTCGGGTGGGCGGGTGCCAGCAGCGTTCGATTGAAAAGCATGCATTTAGTTTTACTAGTGTTTAAGAGCAGTTGGAGGCTACTGAAGGATTGTTGTATGGCATTGAAGCTCGTTTGGAGGTTTGTTAACACAGTGTCCAATGAAGGGCCAGATGTATACAAAATGGTGTCGTCTGCGTAGAGGTGGATCTGAGAGTCACCAGCAGCAAGAGCGACATCATTGATATACACGATATATTTGTACATATATACATATACATTGATATACTCTAAATGCACTCTAGCAAACTTCAGACGGGCCTGGACATGTACTGGCTTAAGCAGGGGGTAACGTCTGGCACTGCAGGATTTGAGTCCCTGGCGGCGTAGTGTGTTACTGATGGTAGGCTTTGTTACTTTGGTCCCAGCTCTCTGCAGGTCATTCACTAGGTCCCCCCGTGTGGTTCTGGGATTTTTGCTCACCGTTCTTGTGATCATTTTGACCCCACAGGGTGTGATCTTGCGTGGAGCCCCAGATTGAGGGAGATTATCAGTGGTCTTGTATGTCTTCCATTTCCTAATAATTGCTCCCACAGTTGATTTCTTCAAACCAAGCTGCTTACCTATTGCATATTCAGTCTTCCCAGCCTGGTGCAGGTCTACAATTTTGTTTCTGGTGTCCTTTGACAGCTCTTTGGTCTTGGCCATAGTGGAGTTTGGAGTGTGACTGTTTGAGGTTGTGGACAGGTGTCTTTTATACTGATAACAAGTTCAAACAGGTGCCATTAATAAAGGTCACGAGTGGAGGACAGAGGAGCCTCTCAAAGAAGAAGTTACAGGTCTGTGAGAGCCAGAAATCTTGCTTGTTTGTAGGTGACCAAATACTTATTTTCCACCATAATTTGCAAATAAATTCATTAAAAATCCTACAATGTGATTTTCTGGAATTATTTTTCTCAATTTGTCTGTCATAGTTGACGTGTACCTATGATGAAAATTACAGGCCTCTCTCATCTTTTTAAGTGGGAGAACTTGCACAATTGGTGGCTGACTAAATACTTTTTTTCCCCACTGTACATACACACACACACACTTTCTTATCATAGCCTACTCCCTACATTCCTCAGTTTTTGCCGTTCTCACAATATTCTGCACCATACTCATTAAAAAGCCTATCAGTTGCCTGTAGGCAGTTCTCCTTGTCCTTTGTTGTCTGGCCTAACTCTTACTCACATTGCTAAATAGTAGCTCAATGCCATAGTCTTTACTGGTCCTACACTCACACATTTCTAACACATTATACACCGTTTCAGGGTGTAATAATTAGTCATTAATAATTAATCTATCACTAACTGCCTTAATTTTGGAAGAGTGGATCCATAATAAATACAAATACACAGAATATCTGATAACACTTTAATATTCTCGTTTTTATAAATGACAAATGACATTTGAAAATATCACCAAACATAGTGAGGCTGCCTAGCTCCTCACTCCTGCTCTAATTCACAACTCTGTACCTCTGATGTACTAGACTTAGTCTTAGGCCTACTTGACAAACCCATCTGATTGTGTCCTAAATGGCTGTATTCCCTATATAGTGCACTACTTGTTGTCCCTATGGGATGGGAGCCGGTCAAAAGTAGTGCAGTACATAGGGAATAGGGTCCCATTTTGGACTCAGACAGACAGACAGACATACAGACATACAGCTCTGTTACTTCTCCAGTGTTCCAGTGTTCCAAAACTTCAAACAATAAAAACATGACAATGACAAGATTCCATTTTCCTTTTCACTTAAAACATTCAGGAATGTGAATCGTAACGCGCGTACAATTCATATAAATTAAATCACTAAAGAAAGGAATGAGATGAAGTTTCTAAAAACGAAAGTCAGTACCGCACCAGACGTAGAGCCTCTCAAGTGGAAGAATGGTTCGTTTGTGTGTCTCCAGGTGAAATATAAAGGAACACACACACACACACACACACACACTACTACACAGTCTTTCTGTGGTGCTGGGTTATAAAACACATAAGATCCAACAGTTTAGTGATCAATAATAAACATCTGTGTGAGTGGTGTTCATCAGTGATGACTAACTAGGATACTAGTTACAGTAGCTACACTAACTAGGATACTAGTTACAGTAGCTTCACTATCTAACTAGTATACTAGTTACAGTAGCTATACTAACTACACTGAACATAAACGCAACATGTAAAGTGTTGGTCCCATGTTTCATAAGCTGAAATAAAAGATCCCAAAAATGTTCCATACGCACAAAAAGCTTATTTCTCTCAAATTGTGAGCACAAATTTGTTTACATCCCTGTTAGTGAGCATTTCTCATTTGCCAAGATAATCCATCCACCTGACAGGTGTGGCATATCAAGAAGCTGATTAAACAGCATGATCATTACACAGGTGCACCTTGTTCTGGGGAGTATAAAAGGCCACTCTAAAATGTGCAGTTTTGTCACAACACAATGCCACAGATGTCTCAAGTTTTGAGGGAGCATGCAATTGGCATGCTGAGTGCAGGAATGTCCACCAGAACTGTTGCCAGATAATTTAATGTTCATTTCTCTACCATAAGCCGCCTCCAACGTTGTTTTAGAGAATTTGGCAGTACGTCCAACCAACCTCACAACCGCAGACCACGTGTATGGCGTTGTGTGGGCGAGCGGTTTGCTGATGTCAACGTTGTGAACAGAGTGCCCCATGGTGGCAGTGGGGTTATGGTATGGGCAGGCATAAGCTACGGACAACGAACACAATTGCATTTTATCGATGGCAATTTGAATGCACAGATACCGTGACGAGATCCTGAGGTCCATTGTCTTGCCATTCATCCGCCACAATCACCTCATGTTTCAGCATGATAATGCACAGCCCCATGTCGCAAGGATCTGTACACAATTCCTGGAGGCTGAAAATGTCCCAGTTCTTCCATGGCCTGCATACCCACCAGACATGTCACCCATTGAGCATGTTTGGGATGCTCTGGATCGAAATGTACGACAGCGTGTTTCAGGTCCCGCTAATATCCAGCAACTTCGCAAAGCCATTGAAGAGGAGTGGGACAACATTCCACAGGCCACAATCAACAGCCTGATCAACTGTATGCAAAGGAGATGTGTCGCGCTGGATGAAGCAAATGGTGGTCACACCAGACACTGACTGGTTCTGATCCATGCCCCTACCTTTTTTTTAAGGTATCTGTGACCAACAGATGCATATCTGTATTCCCAGTCATGTAGAATCCATAGATTGGTGCCTAATAAATGTATTTCAATTCACTGATTTTCTTATATGAACTGTAACTCAGTAAAATGTTTGAAATTGTTGCGTTTCTATTTTAGTTCAGTATATTATCTACATTTCCAGACACTGTGATAGCTAGGTGGTCAAACTAACGGCTGAACCATTCAACCAACCTGTTCAGCTACATTTCATCTCCTGGTGAATGTGTGTGGTGGTTAGTGTATGTATGTGTTTTCATTCCAAAAAAAAAGTATCAGTCCATTCAAGTATCAGTCCAAGCAGTCCCACCAGGACAATCATGTGAAGAGTCTCAGACTGCATTCGGAATGGCACCCTAATCCCTATATAGTGCACTACTTTTGACCAGACCCCTATGAGCTCTGGTCAGATGTAGTGCACTATATAGGGTATAGGGTACCATTTGGGATGCAGTCACAGACTCCATCTCCACAGTCACATAGAGCCGTAGTGAGTGGAGGGAGGGAGGGACAAACAGATACAGAGGAAGAAAAGGAGATGAAGAGACAAGGAGACAAGGCTTTGAAGAGAAGGAGACAAGGTGATGAAGAGAGGAAGACAAGGAGACAAAGAGAGGAAGCCACTTTAGACTATTGAGATGTACCCTTTAATCTCAACCAAACACTCCGCTTTACACTTCTATCCACTTGGCTCACACTCTGGTCCTCTAGTTCCTCTCCAGTCACACTCTGGTCCTCTAGCTCCTCTCCAGTCACACTCTTGTCCTCTAGTTCCTCTCCAGTCACACTCTTGTCCTCTAGTTCCTCTCCAGTCACACTCTTGTCCTCTAGTTCCTCTCCAGTCACACTCTTTTCCTCTAGTTCCTCTCCAGTCACACTCTTGTCCTCTAGTTCCTCTCCAGTCACACTCTTGTCCTCTAGTTCCTCTCCAGTCACAGCCTCCTCTAGTTCCTCTCCAGTCACAGCCTCCTCTAGTTCCTCTCCAGTCACAGCCTCCTCTAGTTCCTCTCCAGTCACAGCCTCCTCTCCAGTCACAGCCTCCTCTCCAGTCACAGCCTCCTCTAGTTCCTCTCCAGTCACAGTCTCCTCTAGCTCCACTCCAGTCACAGCCTCCTCTAGTTCCTCTCTAGTCACAGCCTCCTCTAGTTCCTCTCCAGTCACAGCCTCCTCTAGTTCCTCTCCAGTCACAGCCTCCTCTAGTTCCTCTCCAGTCACAGCCTCCTCTCCAGTCCTTTCTTCCACTCCCAGTGCTGTGTCCTCTCTCTAGACCGATCCAAACTCGTCCATCCAGGCCTGGTACTTCTCCAAGTCGGCAGCGGAGACAGACTTGGAGATCTTCTTCAGGGTCATGGTGAAGTCGTCCATGGTGACAGGCATCTGAAGCTCTTCTTTAGACAGAGCTCTGATCTCCTCTGGAGAGAGGCCCTGGATACGCCGACGCATTGCCATCATAGACGCGTCTCTGTGGGGGCACACACACATGGCATTAGCATACAACACACACACACACACACACACAGGTTGAGGAATACACACACTCAGAGACAGAGACAATTTATTTAACAGTAGACACGTTCTTTATACAGAGCTCTGATCTCTTGACACCAAAAAACCTGGATACAGTGCATTCGGAAAGTATTCAGACCCCCTTGACTTTTTCCACATTTTGTTGCAGCCTCATTCTAAAATGTATGAAATAGTTTTTTCCCCCCACATCGATCTACACAAAATACCCCATAATGACAAAGCAAAAACAGGTTTTTATACATTTTTGCAAATGTATAAAAAATTAAAAACTGAAATACTACATTTACATAAGTATTCAGACCCTTTACTCAGTACTTTGTTGAAGCGCCTTTGGCAGCGATTACCCAAGTCTTCTTGGGTATGACGCTACAAGCTTGGCACACCTGTATTTGGGGAGTTTCTCCCATTCTTCTCTGTAGATCCTCTCAAACTATGTCAGGTTGGATGGGGAGCGTCGCTGCACAGCTATTTTCAGACTGGGCTCTGGTTTGGCCACTCAAGGACATTCTGAGACTTGTCCTGAAGCCACTCCTGCGTTGTCTTGGCTGTGTGCTTAGAGTTGTTGTCCTGTTGGAAGTTGAACCTTCTCCCCAGTCTGAGGTCCTGAGCGCTCTGGAGCAGTTTTCATCAAGGATCTCTCTGTACTTTGCTCCGTTCATCTTTCCGTCGATCTTGACTAGTCTCTCAGTCTCTGCCGCTGAAAAACATCCCCACAGCATGATGCTGCCACCACCATGTTTCACCGTAGGGATGGTGCCAGGTTTCCTCCAGACGTGACACTTGGCATTCAGATCAAAGAGTTCAATCTTGGTTTCATCAGACCAGAGAATCTTGTTTATCATGGTCTGAGGATTTAAGTGCCTTTTGGCAAACTCCAAGCGGGCTGTCATGTGCCTTTTACTGAGGAGTGGCTTCGGTCTGGCCACTCTACCATAAAGGCCTGATTGGTGGAGTGCTGCAGAGATGGTTGTCCTTCTGGAAGATTCTCCCATCTCCACAGAGGAACTCTGGAGCTCTGTCAGCGTGACCATCGGGTTCTTGGTCACCTCCCTGACCATGGCCCTTCTCCCCGATTGCTCAGTTTGGCCGGGCAGCCAGATCTAGGAAGAGTCTTGGTGGTTCCAAACTTCTTCCATTTAAGAACGATGGAGGCCACTGTGTTCTTGGGGACCATCAATGCTGCAGAAATGTTTTGGTACCTTTCCCCAGATCTGTGCCTCAACACAATCCTGTCTCGAAGCTCTACGGTCAATTCCTTTGACCTCATGGCTTGGTTTTTGCTCTGACATGCACTGTCAACTGTGGGACCTTACATAGACAGGTGTGTGCCTTTCCAAATCATGTCCAATCAATTGAATTTACCACAGGTGGCCTCCAATCAAGTTGATCAATGGAAACAGGATGCACCTGAGCTCAATGTTGAGTCTCATAGCAAAGAATACTTATGTAAATAAGGTATTTCTGTTTTTTATTTGTAATACATTTGCAGAAATCTCTAAAAAACTGTTTTTGCTTTGTCATTATGGGGTATTGTGGGTAGATTCAATTAGTTTTTTCCCTCATCAATCAATTTTAGAATAAGGCTGTAACGTAACAAAATGTGGAAAACGTCAAGGGATCTTAATACTTTCCGAATGCACTGTAAATTGACGCATAACTAAAATGTACTGCACACAGCTAATTGGTCACATACAGCGCAGAGGCCTGACCTCCCGAGGCCACAATGGTTTCTCTCCATTTCCCTCCCTCCCTCCCTCTGTATCCTCTCCCTCTCTCCCTCCATCTCGCTCTCTCTCTCTGTATCTCTCTCCCTCTCGCTCTGTATCTCGCTCTCCCTTTCCTTCCATCTCTCCCTTAATCTATCCCTTTCCCTCTCTTCTCCCCTCTCTCCCTCTTTCGCTCGCTCGCCCTCCCCATCTGCCTCCCACTCCCTCTCTTCCCCCCTCCCTCTCTCTCTCCCTCCCCCTTCCACTCTCCCTCCTCCCCCGCTCCCTCCCACTTCCCCCCTCCCTCTCTCTCTCTCCCCCTTCCACTCTCCCTCCCTCCCACTCTCCTCCCTCCCACTCTCCCTCCCTCTCTCTCGCTCACTCGCTCTCCCACTCTCCTCCCTCCCGCTCGCTCTCCCACTCTCCTCCCTCCCGCTCGCTCTCCCACTCTCCTCCCTTCCGCTCTCCCGCTCTCCCTCCCACCCACCCTCCCCCCTCAACTCTCTCTGTTATATAAAGGGTGTGTTCAGGGGATGCCCCTGGCCAAGAGCCATGACTGTGACCTTAGCTTACACACACAGACAGAAAGTGCCACACGACTAGTCACGACTCACAAGGGTCAGTCATGGGAACAGTCTCACAAGAACACTCGCACACGTTTTGTTCATCTATCCTCGTGGGGACCTCAGATTAATTTCCATTCAAAATCCTATTTTCCCTAACCTGTAACCCTAAACACTAACCCCTTACCCTAACTGTAACCCTAAACACGAACCCCTTACCCTAACTGTAACCCTAAACACTAACCCCTTACCCTAACTGTAACCCTAAACACTAAGCTTAAAATAGCTTTTGTCCTCATGGGTGTATGGGAAATGTCCCCACGAGAAAGAATTTTCCTTGTTTTACTATCTTAAAGTCCCCAAAAGGATAGAAGAACCAAGCCCCCCCCCCCCCCCCCCCACACACACACACAGCTAGACCTGCAGACGTTGGTGATGTCAGCGCCAGAGTATCCGTCTATCTTGTCAGCGATGAGAGCCAGGTCCACGTCATCAGCCACATCCACCTCCTTTAGACTGATCCCCAGCAGCTCAGCACGACCCACAGCTACACACACACACACACACACACACACACACACAGGAAAGAGGGTTAACAACACACCCTACAGCTAGAGACATACAGGTATAACTGTACAACAATGTGAATGTTCTGCACAACAGATACATTTTAAGAATAGGTTAATATGCAAGACATCTGTATGAAACAGGATTTCCGCATCTCAGGTTCAGGGTAAGGGTAGAGGTTAGGGTTGAAAGGTTAAAGATCACCTGTAGGCAGTGGGATGTAGATTCTCTTCTCCAGTCGTCTCCGTAGCGCCTCGTCGATGTCCCAGGGGAAGTTAGTAGCGGCCAGAACCATCACCATCTTAGAGGGATCGTCATTCTCTGAAGCTCCCCCCACACCTGGACAACAATGGTACAGTCAGATAGCTCCCCCCACACCTGGACAACAATGGTACAATCAGATAGCTCCCCCCACACCTGGACAACAATGGTACAGTCAGATAGCTCCCCCTACACCTGGACAACAATGGTACAGTCAGATAGCTCCCCCTACACCTGGACAACAATGGTACAGTCAGATAGCTCCCCCTACACCTGGACAACAATGGTACAGTCAGATAGCTCCCCCTACACCTGGACAACAATGGTACAGTCAGATAGCTCCCCCCACACCTGGACAACAATGGTACAGTCAGATAGCTCCCCCTACACCTGGACAACAATGGTACAGTCACATACTGCATCTAAAGCTCCACCCACACCTGGGCATCAATGGTACAGTCAGATAGCTCCACCCACACCTGGGCAACAATGGTACAGTCCCCAAAAACACATCTCAGCAGCCGAGCAAGAAACAACATATTCAGAAACCAGTGAACTCTTTCTCCCTCTGCCCCACTCCCTCCCTCTCTCTCTCCTTATCTATTTCACCCTCTCTCCTTATCTATTTCACCCTCTCTCCTTATCTATTTCACCCTCTCTCCTTATCTATTTCACCCTCTCTCCTTATCTATTTCACCCTCTCTCTTTATCTATTTCACCCTCTCTCTCCTTATCTATTTCACCCTCTCTCCTTATCTATTTCACCCTCTCTCCTTATCTATTTCACCCTCTCTCCTTATCTATTTCACCCTCTCTCCTTATCTATTTCTCCCTCTCTCCTTATCTATTTCTCCCTCTCTCCTTATCTATTTCACCCTCTCTCCTTATCTATTTCACCCTCTCTCCTTATCTATTTCACCCTCTCTCCTTATCTATTTCACCCTCTCTCCTTATATATTTCACCCTCTCTCCTTATCTATTTCTCCCTCTCTCCTTATCTATTTCTCCCTCGCTCCTCCTCCTCCTCTCTTCCTCTCCCCCAGCTTCTCTCACCGTCCATCTGCACCAGTATTTCTGACTTGACTCTGCGGCTGGCTTCGTGTTCGTCTGACTTCCCTCGACTCCCACAGATGGAGTCTATCTCATCTATGAAGATGGTGGTCGGGGCGTAGAACCTCGCCTGGACACAATGGAGAGAAAAGGTTCTTTCAAAAAAGGTTCATTGAGTATTCCCCAGTGAGCAGAAATCTTTTTTTTAAACTCAGTCGAGGTCTCAACTTACTGTTGAGAGTTAGAATAGTAGAATACACAAAGTGACATTTTGAAATGTGGTTGTGCATCAGCAGTTTTTCTATTGTTCTGTCAGTCACTCAATTATCCCATGTCAGCGATTATTTATTGCTAGGTAAGGTAGTCTAGTCAGCTATCTAAACCTTGTAGTAGGCCTAATCATCACCATATTACTGTTTTCGTCCGTCACAAGAGACCACACACACACACAAAGACTCACCATCTCAAAGAGCAGGCGAACCAGTTTCTCAGACTCTCCTCTGTATTTGGAGGTGAGTGTGGAGGAGGACACGTTGAAGAAGGTGGTGCCACACTCTGTAGCCACGGCTTTAGCCAGCATGGTCTTCCCTGTCCCTGGGGGGCCCACCATCAACACCCCCTGGTGGAGAGAGAGAGAGCGAGAGAGAGAGAGAAGGGAGTAGAAGAGAGAGAGAGAAGAGAGAGAGAGAGAGAGAGAGAGATAGAGACATATAGAGAGAGAGAGACAGAGAGAGAGCAGAGAGAGACAGAAGAGAGACAGAGATAGCAGACAGAGAGGAGAGAGACAGAGAGAGAGACAGAGCTAGAGACAGAGAGAGAGTAGAGAGAGAGAGAGAGAGAGAGAGAGAGAGAGAGGATAGAGAGAGACGAGGACAGAGCAGAGACAGAGAAGAGACAGATACAGAGAGAGATAGAGACAGAGGTACCTACAGAGAGAGAGAGACAGAGACAGAGAGAGAGACAGAGAGACGGAGAGAGAGACAGAGAGACAGAGAGAGAGTGAGCATATATTGCAGAGGGGTCGCTGACAGTAGGTCAATCTTTTCCAAACTACATGAATTTCTACAGTACAACATCACCGCTTACAGGCCTGAGTGGTGTATGGCAAAGAGCAGCCTCTGAATATCCATCCATATGTCAACGTTCAAAACTGTTCACTGTATTCATTCATTCATTCACATGTAAGAAACCATGCATTTCTACACTACATGGTCTTCATGTGATATTTGTGTTTGGTTGTGGCACAGAGACCAATGAAATATTGACCCCCCTATCAATGGATTGGGCCTGAGGGCAGGGCTCTAAATTAACGTATTTCCATTGGTAGCACTGGTGCTCCTAACTTTAAAAAGTTAGGAGCACCACATAAAATGTACCAAAGTGTTGGTCAGTGTTTCCCAAGGGACCATTTGAATAGATGTTACATTTAGACAAACATTTTAGAATAGGCTGATTCAGAACATGCTGTTGTACAAACAACATACAGAGCTACACCATCACTGGTAGCAACCTGTATTAGAGGTAACGTTTGCTTTGCCCTAGCTAGTGCATTTAGCTAAATGGCATTTAGCTAGCCAGCTAGCTAGTTAGCAATTAGCTAAATGGCATTTAGCTAGCCAGCTAGCTAGTTAGCGATATGCATTTAACTAAATGGCATTTAGCTAGCCAGCTAGCGATTAGCGATGTGCATTTAGCTAAATGGCATTTAGCTAGCCAGCTAGCTAGTTAGCGATATGCATTATATGTTAGGCACATGCCAGGTTTCTTATATTTGTATTTATTAAGGATCCCCATTAGCTGTTGCCAAGGCAGCAGCTACTCTTCCTGGGGTCCAGCAACATTAAAGGCAGTTATATACCGTTTTAAATATTACATTTCATAAAACTTTTCACAACACATTCAATGTGTTCGCTCAGGCCACTATTCTACTACCACATATCTACAATACAAAATCCATGTGTATGTGTGTGTAGAGTGCGTGTCTTATCATGTGTATGTGTGTGTGTGTGTGTCCCTTCACAGTCCCCGTTGTTCCATAAGGGGTATTTTTATCTGTTTTTTAAATCTGATTCTACTGCTTGCATCAGTTACCTGATGTGGAATAGAGTTCCATGTAGCCATGGCTCTATGTAGTACTGTGCGCCTTCCATAGTCTGTTCTGGACTTGGGGATTGTGAAGAGACCTCTGGTGGCATGTCTTGTGGGGTATGCATGGGTGCCCGAGCTGTGTGCTAGTATTTTAAAAAACAGACACCTCGGTGCATTCAGCATACTTCTTACAAAAACAAGTAGTGATGAAGTCAATCTCTTCTCCACTTTGAGCCATGAGAGATTTACATGCATATTAGACTAGCTAACTCGCATTTTGCTGAGAACAAGATACACAAACTAATTGTATAATAGAGAAAGCAAGGTGGAAAGCAGCATCGTTCTTGTTTTGGAAGGATCTGTGTTGAGTGCATGAATTGACAGCATGCTGAGAGAATAAACAGTGTGCTGCCTGCTTGAGTGGCCGGGGGCGGGGCTTGGTGTGTATAGCCTGGGAACTGGAAGCAAACAGCCGTGGAGGGAGAAAGACGACTATGACTATGGCACGTGGAGGCTGTGGTAAAGCAAAGCCTAATAATTACAACAATTATTATCTGGGTGATTTTTTTTTTTTCTAGTTGCACTGGTGCTCCCAAATTAAAACTGCAGGTCACACAGCTAAGTATTTTGGAAGCATGTAGGTATTACAGACTGGGTCAGGGAGAGGTTGAAAATGTCAGTGAAGACCCTTGCCAGCTGGTACGCGTCCTGGTAATCCATCTGGCCCTGCGGCCTTGTGAATGTTAACCTGTTTAAAGGTCTTGCTCACATCGGCTACAGAGAGCGTGATCACACAGTCGTCCAGGACAGCTGGTGCTCTCATGCATGGTTTAGTTTTGCTAGCCTCGAAGCTAGCATAGAAGGCATTTAGCTCGTCTGATAGGCTCGCATCACTGGGCAGCTCACGGCTGGGTTTCCCTTTGTAATCCGTGATATAGTTTGCAAGCCCTGCCACATCCGACGTGCGTTAGAGCAGGTGTAGTAGGATTAGATCTTAGTCCTGTTATGACGCTTTGCCTGTTTGATGGTTCATCTGAGGGCATAGCGGGATCTCTTATAAGCGTCCGGATTAGTGTTCTTCTCCGTGAAAGCGGGAACTCTGTGTCTGTTTGGGATATGTATGTAAGGTCACTGTGGGGACGACGTCGTCGATGCACTTATTAATGAAGCTGGTGACTGATGTGGTAAACTGCTCAATGCCATCGGATGAATCCCGGAACATATTCCAGTCTGTGCTAGCAAAACAGTCCTGTAGCTTAGCATCCGTATCATCAGACCACTTCCGAGTCACTGGTACTTCCTGCTTTCGTTTTTGCTTGTAAGCAGAAATCAGGAGGATAGAGTTATGGTCAGATTTGCCAAATGGAGGGCGAGGGAGAGCTTTGTATGCGTCTCTGTGTGTGGAGTAAAGGTGATCTAGAGTTCTTTCACCTCTAGTTGTACAGGTGACATGCTGGTAGAAATTAGGTAAGACGGATTTCATTTTTCCTGCCTCTGGAAGCGACATCTGCACAAGAACTGTTCGTCAGGAGCTTCATGAAATGGGTTTCCATGGCCGAGCAGCCACACACAAGCCTAAGATCACTATGCGCAATGCCAGGCGTCGGCTGGAGTGGTGTAAAGCTCGCCGCCATTGGACTCTGGAGCAGTGGAAACGCATTCTCTGGAGTGATGAATCACTCTTCACCATCTGGCAGTCCGACGGACGAATATGGGTTTGGCGGATGCCAAGAAAACGCTACCTGCCCCAATGCATTATGCCAACTGTAAAGTTTGGTGGAGGAGGAATAAGGGTCTGTTGCTGTGTTTCATGGTTCGGGCTAGACCCCTTAGTTCCAGTGAAGGGAAATCTTAACGCTACAGCGTACAATGACATTCTAGACAATTCTGTGCTTCCAACTTTGTGGCAACATTTTGGGGAAGTCCCTTTCCTGTTTCAGCATGACAATGTCCCCGTGCGCAAAGCGAGGTCCTGACAGAAATGGTTTGTCGAGATCGGTGTGGAAGAACTTGACTGGCCTGTACAGACCCCTGACCTCAACCCCATCGAACACCTGTAGGATGAATTGGAATGCCGACTGCGAGCCAGCCCTAATCGCCCAACATCAGTGCCCGACCTCACTAATGCTCGTGGCTGAATGGAAGCAAGTTCCCGTAGCAATGTTCAAACATCTAGTGGAAAGCCTTCCCAGAAGAGTGGAGGCTGTTATAGCAGCAAAGGGGGGACCAACTCCATATTAATGCCCATGATTTTGGAATGAGATGTTCGACGAGCATACTTTAGACCATGTAGTGTATGTGTGGAATTATTTTTTATTTAGAATGGCCCACAAAACATGGCATTCGAACATGGCAGCCTGCACTCGAATAGCGAATGGAGGAAGTGCTTCCCGCGGTAACGTGTTTAATAATATGCCAGGTAGGCTACACCAGTTGTAGAGCGGATTAATTTTAATTATTGAGCAATAAATATAGCAGCACGAGGAAGCTGGGATCCTCTTTTAAATAGAGGCCAGTCAAAACTCTGTTTTCACACGCAATTGTGAAATGACTGGGCTTATAACACGTTTCACTAGGATCTGTAGGCTATGTGCTCTCAAACCATGTACCAGGGGTCTTGGGCCTGTAGGCTACGCTTAGATTTATTTGGCCACTTTAGGTTGTGATACAAACCTTATCAAAACATATTAGGCCTATGGGCTAGGCTACACGATGCATTCGACTATGATTTGAAAAAGTTGCAAAAAAAATGCATGCACTGTTTCTTGCCTTAGACACACTGGGCATCATTCGCAAGTGATAATATTCTCACCCATCAGACTATTCTCAATGTAATCTTGTCTTTACATATACTAAATCATATATGTATGAAATTAGTTTTGATTTAGAATGGACCATCATCATGCACCTGTCAGAACAGGGGCAGGGGGAAAAAAATACATGTCATCCGTATGCACTTGAATAGCGAATGGAGGACACTTTTCCTGCGGTTCATTTTCATGCCAGCCAGGTAGGTTACTCCAGTTGTAAAGCATGGCAATGTGCTTAATATTATGAGAAATATAGTAGGCCTAGCCTATAGAAAGCTTATGGGATCCTCCTCTTTTTAATAGAAACTCTGTTTTCTCACGCATAGCATAGCCTAGCATAGCATAGCATAGCCTAGCATAGCATAGCCTTGCATAGCCTATAGAAATGTTGCTCAACATGGGCTTATAGGAACACATTTCATTCCATGTATCAACCAGCTATGAGGAGCTGGCTCTCGCTGCGCAACAGCTGATCCTATTCCGTTTAAACTCAATGCCAGGGCTCTCCTGCAGTGTTCATTTTCGATTGCATTTGCATTGTCAGAGTGATTAGAGGGACAATAGAGCGCTGAGTACCAGGCCATTAGCGACTGGCTTTTAACAAGTTTGGTAGGCTACTAATGCTACTAATGACCACCAGCGGCATCAAAGAGCAGTTTTGGAGAAGCCTAGTTACCGTGACTCAACGGTCACATGGAATTTGACTGCGGCCATGACTCGTGACTGCCGGTGTGGCGGCAATACGGTCACGTTACAGCCCCTACTCATGACTTCACACACACAACTACTCAAGGCACTATCTCTCATTGCCTTTTAAGTGTGTGTGTTACCTTCCAGGGTCGGCGTATACCCTTGAAGAAGTCTGGCATCCACATGGGCAGAACCACCGCTTCTCTCAGCAACTTCTTAGCATCCTCCAGGTCAGCAATATCCCCCCTGGAACACACACACACACCAAACTTATCAGCAATGCGTCAGTCCTACAGTGATACACACAAAGTGATTATTTACATTTACATTTTAGTCATTTAGCAGACGCTCTTATCACACACACGTCAGCAAGGTGATGTGTTTACTGTACCAGTGTACGTTGGGGTTGCGGGAGACGATGTCTCTCTCCAGTGCTTCCACTAAGTCACTGTCGTACCCTGAACCATCAAACTTCTTCAGCTCTCCATCCCCCGCTCCCTCTGCTACAGCCTTTTTACCCTGCAGGAGACACACACACACACACACACACACACGTTTAACAGAAGTTTAACTTCCCCGCCTTATACTCGTCTTACCCTGGGACAACAGACATAAGAGTTTAAGGGCCGCTTTCCCAGACACAGATCAAGTCTAGTCCTAGACTAAAAGGTTATTTCGATAGAGATTAAGCATGATTTTCAGTCCAGGACTAGACTTCATGTGTCCAGGAAACCAGCCCTAACAGTGTAAATATAGTATCTCCAGCTGTACACTGACCTTGTCGTCTCTGGCCTTGGTGCCTCGGGGGGCGTCCCTGGGGGCAGGGCGGTCTGTTTTGGGGTTGGTCTGGCCCCTCCCCCCTGGAGCCCCTCTGGGCTGCATCCCTGGTGAGTCCTTCCTCTGCTGGGGTTTTACACCACTGTTAGGACGCTTCACTGCAGCAGGGGCCCTAAACACACAGGCAGGGACACACACACACACACACACACACACAGAGACAGGCAGACACACACACATTTTCCATGAAGCAATTAATGTCTGAGCAGTGTAGCAAAACAGAATGTCAGTTTGAGAGATCATGATGGTTGTAGGATGCTACAGGGCCTATAGACTATTTTAGAAAGTCATAAGACGTACAGCTAGTGAATGAAACTATGCAGCATGTAACCTTTTTATTGTGGTCCTGTATACTGTAATCGCCATGCTTTTCAGAAGATGTGTAGCCTACTCTCTGCCATATACTGCTGCAGCATCACTTCCAATAGGAAGCAGCAGCTTGTCAACTTCAAGTGGTGATCATTTGGTTAAGTGGTGATCATTTGGTTAAGTGGCATTTCCTCCTCTCATATCAGTGGATTCGCACTGATATATACACACTGATTCGTCCACTTCAATGCACACTACCCAGATACACTGTGTTAACGCTACAATGTTCCACCTTAAGATTTTAACTTGAGCGCTGTACTTGTTCTTAGTTAAAAATGAGACCTTACACAGCCAGGTGCTGTTTACCCCTTCAGGTTGCCTCCTCTGCACTCAGTAGTGGAGCTGGTCCGGTGAACCACGCTCAAGTGATGAATAAGATTGCCTGAGACCTGAAGAATTGTGTTAGGTCTCAGACATGCCATATACCTGTGCTCTGCGGGGGTGGGGGGGGGGCCACACTGCGGGGTCTCGGGGCCCTTCCTCAGGCTGAGGGACAGGGAAGTCAGCTGGCTTGTCTACCTTAAAACTCTCCAGAGTTCCCACAATGCCTTTCACCTGCTCATACTCCTCCACCAGCTCCTGTCTCACCTAGAGCGAGAGAGGACATTTCGGTAACACTTTTAGCCAACCGGTATATCAAATGATTACTTGTTAAGCATGTAAGAGCGTTCATAATGTCTTATTACCAATGCTTCTATGCTGCAACATCTATGTGGTTTGTATGTGTTTGGGAGAGTCCCACCTGTTGCCACTTGACTTTGAGTGCAGGGTCTCTGAGGGCTTGGCCGTGTTTCTGTATCTGCTGGATCACTCCCTGGTAGTAGACCATAGAGGAGTCATAGTTTCCCAGCAGAGCGTACTCTCTGCCCTTCTTAGCATTGTCACAGATCTCTGCCAGGTTCATCTTAATGGAGGACAATGTCTCTGGGCTGGAACTGTCTGGCAGGGAAACAGAAGAAGGCTACATTAGGATGAAAGTTCTCCTTCGATCTTCAGGTCGAAACGTTGCACAATAAAACTACAGAAGTAATCATCATCAGTGTGCGGGTATCGCTTTCTTTCTTTAGTTGACTTGTTGTACCCTGTACCTGCAAGTCACTGGGTGTGCATACACTACTCTGAAACTAAGCTATGTTAGTATGACATGATCTCAGCACTGAGAATGTAAAAGTGACGCAAGTAAACCAAGATCATGACATGGCTCACAGGCTTTATAAACAATGGGAACTGTTGTCAAACAGTAGTGAGATATATTGGTTCCCTTTCCTATGCACTACTGCTGGCTGTGTCACATGATCCCTTTCTTCAGTGTTTAGAGTTGGCTTGTCAGACTTATGTTCGGATTAGCTGGCTAGCTATGTACTATCTGAAATCAATGGACTGTTTGAACAGCCAGGGTTTGCAGATACTAGTTTAAACTGAAGTAAGAGCAAACTCAGAGTTATATAATAAGCTGTCTACACTGGAGGTGGTGTATCAAACCATTGCTCTGTTAGACCAGGGGTTCCCAAACGCCCCCCGGGTGCACATTTTGGTGTATGCCCTTCCACTACACAGCTGATTCATATAATCAAAGTTTGACAATGACTTGGTCATTTGAATCAGCCGTGTAACGTTAGCACTAGGGCAAAAACCTAAATGTGGACCCAGGGCAGGGCCAGGACCAAGTTTGGGAAACCCTGTGCTAGACACGCAGTATGATCATCGTATCCCATGGTAAGCAGGATGTCCCATAGTTGATAGCAGTGTCCCTTCATTCTGGTTACACCCCCATGCATTTCAATAACCATATGTTCATAGTAGCTAAACTAATTACATTCACTTCAAAGCCTATTTAATTTAGCCCTACTTAATCCAGATGGGTTTCATAGTTAGCTAAAATAGCTAGAAAACACATCATTTTCACAATGTAGCTAGCTAGCTAGATAGTTAGCTTGCTAAGGTAAATATGTCAACCATTACTAGTGGGCTAGTATGTAAATCAACAATAATAACATCAGCAGAAAACCTTTTCAAAGAATGCACATATCAATAAAATCTATCATTGCATTTCAGGACCCGGGTCTTGTAGTTCAAACACAGATATCCCTCCGTCTATTTTGATCAGCAGTATGCGTAAATAAAACAGCATTTCCCATCGGCCTCCAGTTACACCCCAAGCTTAGGCCAGATAACAAAACGGATCGCATGGCAAGAAAATACCCTCTTGTTTCGAATAAATGACGTGCCGCCAAGTATACCACACAAACCAAAAGACAAACAAATAGCTAGTACTTACAACTATGTGCATGAAAATAGTATGATTGTACCTCAAAGAGAAGTGCTTGTTTCTGTTGTTGTGTGCAGTAGTCCGTTACACAGTGGTGTTACCATGGCCGCGGAGAGACGCCGTGTGGAGAACGACGATCATCAGCGGAAGAGGAGGGGCCGCTGGAGGCCGTGGATGACATCTGTCATACAGAACACAACAGACTGTCAAAATATTATGACAAGGGGTGCTTACAGACTTCGATGATGCCCCAATTTTCACTAAATTGTCTGGATTAAATGGTTCAATCGACGCTGGAGGGTAAACAATGCATACTCTAGAAGTGTTTGTTCTAGACTAGAGAGAGAGCAAGACAAAATAATGGTGTACCAAAAAAAGTCCAGTTGCCAGGACCACAAATACAAATTCCATCTAGACACCGTTGCCCTAGAGCACACAAAAAACTATAGATACCTCGGCCTAAACATCAGCGCCGCATGTAACTTCCACAAAGCTGTGTACGATCTGAGAGACAAATCAAGAAGGGCCTTCTATGCCATCAAAAGGAACATAAAATTAGACATACCAATTACCAAAAATACTTGAATCAGTTGTAGAACCCATTGCCCTTTATGGTTGTGAGGTCTGGGGTCCGCTCACCAACCAAGAATTCACAAAATGGGACAAACACCAAATTGAGACTGCATGCAGAATTCTGCAAAAATATCCTCTGTGTACAACGTAAAACACCAAATAATGCATGCAGAGCAGAATTAGGCCAATACCCGCTAATTATCCAAATCCAGAAAAGAGGCGTTTAAATTCTACAACCGCCTAAAAGGAAGCCATCACCTACAGATAGATGAACTTGGAGAAGAGTCCCCTAAGCAAGCTGGTCCTGGGGCTCTGTTCACAAACACAAACAGACCCCACAGAGCCCCAGGACAGTAACACAATTAGACCCAACCAAATCATGAGAAACAAAAAGAGAATTACTTGACACATTGGAAAGAATTAACAAAAAAACAGAACAAACTAGAATGCTATTGGGCTCTAAACAGAGAGTACACAGTAGCAGTGTCACGACCGTCTAAGGAAGCGGACCAAGGCGCAGCGTGTTGAGCGAACATGTTGACTTTATTTAATTAAAGCAACCACGATAACAACAACATAAATGACGATAGTAAAGTCCACAGTGACAATGACTGAACATGGAACAAAAACCCACAACCCCAAGGTGAAAACACACAGTATAAATATGGCTCCCAATCAGAGATAACGAGCCGACAGCTGACACTCGTTACCTCCGATCGGGAGTCACTCAATACAAACATACAACAACCTAGAAATAGACACAACAGAACTACCAACATAGAAATAAACACATAGAATGCACACACCCTGGCTCAACATAACGAGTCCCAGAACCAGGGTGTGACAAGCAGAATACCTGACCACTGTGACTGACCCAAACGTAAGGAAAGCTTTGACTATGTACAGACTCAGTGAGCATAGCCTTGCTATTGAGAAAGGCCACCATAGGTAGACCTGGCTCTCAAGAGAAGACAGGCTATGTGCACACTGGCCACAAAATGAGGTGGAAACTGAGCTGCACTTCTTGACCTCCTGCCAAATGTATGACCATATTAGAGACACGTATTTCCCTCAGATTACACAGACCCACAAAGAATTTGAAAACAAATCCAATTTTGATAAACTCCCACATCTATTGGGTGAAATACCACAGTGTGCAATCACAGCAGCAATATTTGTAACCTGTTGCCACAAGAAAAGGGCAACCAGTGAGGAACAAACACCATTGTAAATACAACCCATATATTTATTTTCTCTTTTGTACTTGAACTATTTGCACATCATTTCAACACTGCTTCTACATCTGCATTGCTTGCTGTTTGGGGTTTTAGGCTGGGTTTCTGTATGGCACTTTGTGACATCTGCTGATGTAAAAAAAGGCTTTATAAATACACTTGATTGATTGTATATAGACATAACATGACATTTTAAACGTCTTTATTCTTTTGGAACTTTTGTGAATGTAATGTTTACTGTTAATTTTTTATTGTTTATTTCATTTGCTTTGGCCATGTAAACATATGTTTCCCATGCCAATAAAGCCCCTTAAATTGAAATTGAATTGATATGTTGTTGTCTGTGGTTTGACCCTTGGACAGTCATGCAGTCTCATTATCTGGAGGCTACATTGATTCACTTAAAGCAATGGAGCCTTTTAGTTGTGGCCATTATGCATTGAAGAAAGCACCCTATTATAGCTCATTACTACCCTATACGTGGATTAAGGTGCCATTTGGGACGTACACGGTCCGAGGTGCCCGCACCAACAGCATTAGCGTCGAACAGCCCCCGCGATATGCAACTTTTCAGGGAAGTTAGGAAAGCAAAGGCTAGCTTTTTCAAACAGAAAATGTGCATCCTGTAGCACTAACTCCAAAAAGTTTTGGGACACTGTAAAGTCCATGGAGAATAAGAGCACCTCCTCCCAGCTGCCCACTGCACTGAGGCTAGGAAACACTATCACCACCGATAAATCTACAATAATCGAGAATTTCAAACAAGCATTTTGCTACGGCTGGCCATGCTTTCCACCTGGCTACCACTACCCCGGCCACCAGCTCTGCACCCTCCGCTGCAACTTGCCCATGCCGCCCCCCCCCCCCCCCCCGCTTCTCCTTCACACAAATTCAGACAGCTGATGTTCTGAAAGAGCTGCAAAATCTAGACCCCTACAAATCATCTGGGCTAGACAATCTGGACCCTTTCTTTCTAAAATTAGCAGCTGGAATTGTCGCAACCCTTATTACTAGCCTGTTCAACCTCTCTTTCGAAACGTCTAAGATCCCCAGAGATTGGAAAGCTGCCGCGGTCACCCCCCTCTTCAAAGGGGGTGACACTCTAGATCCAAATTGTTACAGACCTATATCCATCCTGCCCTGCCTTTCGAAAGTTTTTGAAAGCCAAGTTAACAAACAGATCACCGACCATTTCGAATCCCACCTTACCTTCTCCGCTATGCAATCCGGTTTCCGAGCTGGTCATGGGTGCACCTCAGCCACGCTCAATGTCCTAAACGATATTATAACCGCGATCGATAATAGACAGTACTGTGCAGCCGTCTTCATCGACCTGGCCAAGGCTTTCGACTCTGTCAACCACCGCTTTCTTATTGGCAGACTAAATAGCCTTGGTTTCTGAAATGACTGCCTCGCCTGGTTCACCAACTACTTCTCAGATAGAGTTCAATGTGTCAAATCGGAGGGCCTGTTGTCTGGACCTATGGCAGTCTCTATGGGGGTTCCACAGGGTTAAATTCTCGGGCCGACTCTTTTCTCTGTGTATATCAATGATGTCGCTCTTGCTGCTGGTGACTCTCAGATCCACCTCTACGCAGCCAACACCATTTTGTATCTGTGTTAACAAACCTCCAAACGAGCTTCAATGCCATGCAACACTCCTTCCGTAGCCTCCAACTGCTCTTAAACACTAGTAAAATTAAATGCATGCTCTTCAATCGAACGCTGCTGGCACCCGCCCACCCGACTAGAATCACTACTATCGGCGGGTCTGACCTAGAGTATGTGGACAACTACAAATACCTAGGTGTGTCACGGAATCAGCCGAGGCTGCTCCTCCTCCTTGCTCGGGCAGGTTTCGGCGTTGGTCGTCCCCGGAGTACTAGCTGCCACCGATCTATGTTTCGGTGTTTGACTTGTTTTGTCCTGATTGTGTACACCTGTTCCCCATTATGTTGTATTGTTTCCCCTATTTAACCCTCTGTCGTGCATTGTGTGTTGTGTGTTATTGTATTCGTCTTCGGCAGTGTTAGTGTGCGGGTTGTTTTCCTCCTTGTATGGAGATGGATTTCTTCTCTGGTTACTTTCAAGTCAAGTACGTTTCCAGTAAGCTCTGTGTCATGCGTTTGACTTCGCCTACCGCATTTCACCGTCGCCTTCTGACAGAATAACACACCTTCAGATGGAGTCAGCAGGATCGTCCACGCTCAGGGGAGCACTGGAGGAGCGTGTAACCCAACAAGAGGCCGTGATCCAGCACCTGGGCACCACCATCCAAGGGGTGATGGACACCTTGAGGCGATGGGAGAGTGGAGGTTTGCCCACACCTCATCCTACGATACCACCACCATCAGCCATACCCATCGGTCCATCTCCGGAGTCCAGTGGGATTCGGCTCTCGCTCCCGAGGGCTTATGATGGCACCGCGGCCGGGTGTCAGGGTTTCCTACTCCAGGTTGAACTCTACTTAGCAACCATTCACCCGGCGCCCTCGGGATACGAGAGCGTGTCCGCCCTCATCTCCTGTCTGTCCGGCAAGGCGCTGGAATGGGCCAACGCCGAATGGGTTGGGATAGACGCCGCTACGGTCAGCTATGCAGAGTTCACCTGCCGCTTCCGGGCAGTGTTCGATCATCCCCCAGAGGGTAAAGCGGCGGGTGAGCGTTTATTCCACCTTAGACAGGGGAGGAGGAGCGCGCAGGAGTTCGCGCTGGACTTCCGGACGCTAGCAGCCAACACGGGAGGGAATGAGAGGGCCCTAATCGACCACTACAGATGCAGCCTGAGGGAGGACGTGCGTCGGGAATTAGCCTGCAGGGACACCAACCTCAGCTTTGACCAACTGGTGGACATGTCGATTCGCCTGGATACCCTGTTGGCTACCCGCGGACGTTCAGGGCTGTCCATTCCATCCCCCAGCACTTCCGAGCTGACCTCTATGAAGGAGACCAGGAGGGAGACCAGGAGGGAGACCAGGAGGGAGACCAGGAGGGAGACCAGGAGGGAGACCAGGAGGGAGGCCGTCCCCTGCACCAACTGTGGCCGCAGAGGACACACTGCTGGTCGGTGCTGGGGAGGGCCTCCTATGAATCGAGGCAGTGGGCGACGCACTGATGAGTCATTCCAGGTGAGTAGGCACCCAACTCACCCAGAGCTCTCTGCTGATCATATGTGTATTAAAGTGGTGTTTCCCAAGGTTTCTCCTCACTCCCAGCATAAGGCGCTAGTAGATTCAGGCGCAGCTGGGAATTTAATTGATCGCCAGTTCACCTATAAGTTAGGGATTCCTATCGTACCTGTTGATGTGCCCTTCCCCATTCATGCCCTAGAT